ACTAATAACCTTTTATATCTTGATGAAATCTTTGTTCGAAAATTAGCAGTTAAAATAAATGGTTTAATATCAAATAGAACCTATAAGAAATTAGAGAATTGACTTGTGTTAAATATCAATTCAATCTTCTTATTCAAAACAAACACAATAATATTGTTTATATCATATTTTATCCTATTTAACAAACAACAAATGCCAATATTATACAGGTAGATACTATGAAATACATATGATAATTATTGACTTTTCTATAATCTTCTTTCTATGTTCATTTTGAATCATACTATAGCATCATAACAAAGAAATGTAGAATTAGCTTTTTGATCAAATACTCTATTAATTTTCTACAATGATTTTTTTTTGTTAATCCACAAGAGTGAATATGAAGTCTGTATATGTAGATGAAAGGTCGATTGTTGTATTACATGATTCAGTATTACAGTTATCAATGAAGAAAAATCAACCGAAATAAAGAATGCATACTACTTCCGTGTATAAAAATAATAAGCAAGCGTTTCTCATTTCCTCAAATTATCGTATTTTTCCATACATGATTTTTCAAGATCATGTCTATTTCACATGCAAAATGTTCATACGAGAGTAAACCACTAAGAATGAAAATAAAATTTTGTGAAGGTTGATGAATATCTGAAAAATTTACACTGTAATTTAATTTCTCAATTAAAAATACTCCTAATCAAGTTTACTTATCATAATACTTGCATCTATGACCTTGAGTACGTACAATTAGTTTTTTTTTTTTTGAAACGTGTGCGTGTTTCTGATGAATAAGTGTTATTCCTTCTCTGATTAAGCATCATGATGTGTTATAATTAATATCTTATTTTTATCCTGACCTTAACAATTAGTAAAAGTAGAGAGCTCAGAAAGTAACACACATTTTACTAACAATTTTTCATTTAAAATAACAATTATGCCATTATGTTCATTATATTTATTTGATAGAGATTTTTTTTTCTTAAATTAATATTGATAATTATATTAAACGTAAATAAATTAACTGATCTTTATCAAACTATAATTTTTTTGCAAGACTAATAAAACTTCTTTACAAGTTTCATCTGTTTATTTGTAACTAAATAAGAATGTTCTTATAGAACATTATGAAATATTTTGCAGTCAAAATCTTTCAATGATACATATAAAATGAGCTATGTTTATTCCTAAAGATCTTAAATCATCATGTTATTTATTACTGAAAGACTTTCACAATACTAAACTCGTTACTTTAGTTAATTAATAGTTAATAAACAAATGATATCAAATTTATCATGTCTTATTCTAGTCATTCATTATAAATGATAATCATGATGTAGCAAAAAATCTCTTAATGAAAAGAAAAGAGAAAAAAAAAGATCTTTATTATTCTTTTCTATTAGTTTTTTTTTCTTCTAAGTATGAATAAAGATATTTTACGACAAGTTCAAAATTTATTAGCCATGCTTTTGACGGCAGATGTTCGCATCAATTATAAACGAGAAAATATGAATTATATTTGAGAATGAATATATTCAACGACGAATCGACAGTTATTTCACAAATGTTCATCATGCTTTTTTGTTTGTTTTAATTCAGAATATAACTAATGCCAAACATTAAGAGTCTAGATAAAAGATTGATTGCATATGAAAATAAATAAAAACTATAAATATGAATAATTGCAATAGGTTTTCTTTTTGTTTTATATTAACATATGGAGCATGTCACGAAAAGAATTATGAAGGCTTAATTATAATTTATCATGGTAGAAGAGCTTCAGATATGATAAGTTTTTATATAAGTAACTTCATTAGTCTGAGTATTTGTCATAGAAAAAAAAAACCAACAAATAATAATTTTAAAAAATTTTTTTCTTTTTAATTAACAAATAATTTTTTTTTTTACTACAAGAGAAATGTTTTCATTTGTTTAACTGTCCCATGCTGAACGTGTAGCAAACAAATGATGAGATGAATTTGTCGTATCATTAACAATAGACATTGGAATTGTTGTCCATGATGTAACTGGTGTACTAATATTTGCTGTTGTTGTTTCAGATGAATTCGATGAAAGATCATGTGAAAAATGTTGATTTTCATTTCCACTACTTGTACTATATTCACTCATAATACTTTTAACAGTAAAATTTCTTGGAAATCTTTTCCTATCTAATTGTTTTAAATAATCTTGAAAACGTTTTTCCATTATTGGATATTGTTGATGTTGTAATGGTATAACAGGAAATAAACGATGTATACGATTTGTTGCTTCAATTAATGATAATTGTTCATCATTTAACATTAAATATTGTATAGCAATAACAGCTAATGGTGAATTAGGTGTTAATTCAAAACCATATATAAGTATACGTTTGCCTTCTTGTTGAGATTTATATATAAAATGATTAACAGCTGAAAATAGTTGACCTAATTGTAAACGAGTTAATTCACGAATTTTATTATTATTTAAATTATTATAATCCATTGTTGTTGTTGTTGTTGTTGTTGTTATTGCTGTTGCTGATGATGATGATGATGATGTTGGGAGAAATAATTGATCAAATTCAAGTGTTAATGTACAACGTGAATGTGTATGATCACAATGACATTGAAGACGCGCACCAACATTTGCTTTACGTGCTAATTCATCAGGTCTCATATTTGTTGCATCAATAAGATAATCAATAGATAATTTACATAATTGTCTTTCATTTTGTAATGCACGTATTGAGCCTAATAAAATATCACGTGTAAGAAACACAATTGAAGTAGTTGGTGATGTTGAATTGTTATCAATTGTTGCTGATTTAGCTAATGATTGTGCACGTCTTGGTATATCACGACGTGGTTGTGGACGTAAATCTTTACCTAAATTTAAAATGAATAATATTTTAATGAAATGATATATTTTGTTTGTTTGTTTTTTTTTTTTTATTTATTTTTACCAAGACATTCAGAAGTAGTTGTAAATACAGTTGGAACAAGTTGATGTGCAAATATAGATTGAGATGAAGGTGGAGCACGTATATTTGTTGGTGATATTAATGGACATGAAGGATTTCGTCGTTGAACAGATGCTACTAATGTACGTGCAGAATCAAGATCCCATTCATTGTCATATGCTGATGGTTTAGCTGGTAGTGAAACAGCAGTTATTGGTCGATTTTGTGATACACGCACTGAATTTGTTACATCAGTAGTTAAACGGCTAGGACGTTGTCGTTGAGATGAATTATTATTATTATTATTATTAATTCCTATTGATGGTGTATGTCGACGACTAGTTGCAGATGAAATACGATAATTAAAACGATCATTATTATTTTGTTGCTTTCGCTGTTGTAAGTCATCATCATCAGACGATGATGTTGTGACAACATCTTGAACATTTAAATCACTTGTTGATGCACTTTCAATGCGCACAGTTACTGTTGATGGATCAGCCACTGTTGATGATATTATACTAGATAAATGTTTTAATAATTTCTTTTTTCTTGTTTTCATCTTATATATATATCGATTTATTTTAAATAGTGAGATGTATATTCGCTAGATTTTTCTTTTCTTTATACTCACCTTGACGAACGACGAATCACACTATGCATCATGTTTAACTTGAAGATCCTATTTCTCAGTAATGCGTAAAAGCAGAAAAGATCAGTACACCTGGTCTTGAGCAATTAGAACGATTAACAACGGCACATTACTTTTGTGAGCAAAATGCACGGCAATAACATACGTGCTTGTGTTATATTTCCTTTCTATTTTTCAAAGAAAGAATAGAAGAAGAACAGCTCTAAAATGTAGCTGCAACTAGGAACGATGTTTTTGTCTTTTATAAAGCAAAAAAAAAAATAGAATGACATAAAGCAAAGTGAAGAGGTGCAGGCTGCTTTTTTCCCCCTCTATTTCTATCTGTAACGTTTTATGCGTCGGACACGATCTGTCATATTACTCTGAGCCGTTAGTGTAAGAATTAATGGTGAGTTTATCTTGTGTCTCAGTTTTTTCACCATTTCTTTTCTTTT